ATTGTATAAAATATTTAAGGAAGTAATAGTTTGGACCAAAATGTGGTCATTTTTTTACAAAGTTTTGTAAAATAAAAAAATGTTTTAAATGATTTAAATTGTTTAAAATATTAGCCTCATTTTTAAGGTGTTCGCCTAATTTGTTTTTTTTTTTTTGATAAAAATTGAAGAAAAGTACTAAATCTTTAGGTAAAAATTGCTAAAAACAGATTTAAATTGTTTAAAATACTAGCCTCATTTTATCTAAATCGCCTAAAACAAACCAAAAAATCACTGAAATTTTTCGAAACGATTAATTTGGATTCAATTTTCAAGTTTAATTTAAAAGATGGGCCCAAAAAATACCAAATTTAGATCGAATTTGCAGATTTTTTCGGTTTTCCTGAAAAGCTTAAATATCGAATGCGAAAATTTTTGGAATTTCTACTTAAAGCTTCTCTTTTTATTTGAAGAGACTGCAAATAAATGTTTCAAAAAACGAATAATTTTTGAAACTCTTACCTCCTAAAATATTTTACAATTTTTTTGTAGATTCTCTGATGTCTCACTATCGTCGATTTCCGATTTAAAATACTTTCAGTGTTGCACACGACATGAGGGAAAAGTCACAATGTATGCTTAAATTTGCCTTTTTGTTGCTTTATTCACACACAAATTCAAGTTTCTTATTCCCTCGCCAACTTTAGCTCGAATTTTTCAAATTTCTTTTTCTCTTAATTATCGAGTGTATTTCGTAGACAAAACGTAGTGAAGCGTAAAATAGAAGAACTAAGTAGAAGTAATACGTACATTGGTGTGTTCCATAAAAGCGCCGTGTGTTGTAAAAACTCGGTTGCCTCCCTTTTACAGCACAAACGACCAAGAGAAGTCTCTGAATTTATGGCTTTTGTGTCCGTTGCTTTTTCCACTGCTGTATTTTATCAGACATTGGTGATCGAGCAAACATATTATTCGACTCACTTTAAATTTCGACCTAATTAAACACGTCTCATTTTATTATTTCAAATTTAATTGTTGGTGAAATTTCGTTTTTGTTATGAGTGACCGGAGGCGGCACGCAAAATTGCTTTGAAGTTATGTTATGTTATATACAAACAGGTTCGAACTCGGATTCTTGATGCGAAATGGATTGTTTAGAACAAAGAGGCATTTTCATTTATTTACATCTAACTCGAAAATTTTCAACTTTTCTGCTCTATCAGTACTTTAATTAAAACTTTTTCACGACTAAATTATTGTTTTTATCGGTGGCTGTAAAAATTTTAGGGTAGTGTTGTAACACCGAATTAACAAATTTCGATGGTTGTACTTTTTTAAATAATTCACACAAGTCTGTTGCAAATGTGAAAACTTTTACACAAATTGCTTGAAACTATGTAGGAGACAATTTCCGCTTAAAACTTTGTGCAAATATTCAAATCCTTTCATTAATTAATTTTAATGCCTTTATATTTTGGCATTTTTACCGGTTAAATGAAGTATTTAAGCTAGTTGATTTTTATTATCTTTTCACAAAAGTTTCTTACAGAAAACCACAAACTTTATAGCCTTTTCATCATTTACGACCGATTTTTATTATTACTAACTTGACACATAACACGAATTAGTCTTTTTTCTTTTGAGTCAGTTGTAAAGAGTTCAGAAAAGTTTAGATTTTGCCCCAAATTAATTCATAATTTGTCTCTTTAATCCTCATTTAATGAATTCAAGCATTCTTGCAAACATTTAACACAAAAACATGTCAATAGGTGTCAAAAATGATTTTATTTTTCCTATTTTTAGCGTTTTTTTGAGTCATAAACTCACTTATTTAGCAAAATTTAGTCAAACCAAAAATTCAAAATTGGGTCATAAGTAAATA